TTAGCAAAAATAAAGTTTTTGCTTATTCATATACAAATCAGAATATTATTAATTCATCTTCTTATAATCTTGATATAGTAATCAGGGAATTAATTATGTAATTTTTTAGATATAAGGATATGAAGAGATTCTTATTTTAATAATAAGGTTATTAGCAATGTATATATTAGTAGGAGAAGTAATAGTAAATAAGAATTATATAATTAATATTAGTGATATTAGTTGGTGTTGTTAGTTGTGATTAAGAAATAGAATGGTTTTGTAGTTTGTAACTACATCAAGAGTGACTAGTTGTCAATTTAACTAATTAATTAATTAATTTATATTATTATCTGCAGTTGGTTGACTTTATATATATCTTTCTTACCAGCTTCATCATGATCAATTGCACATTGGAGTTGCATATAGTAATAGTGAAATTTAAATAATGCAATGATATTAGTATCTATGGGTTGTATTTTTGATATTACATTTTTAGGCAACATGTGGATTTTTACATTATTGAGAATAAGAGCATAAATAATATGTAAGATGGCATTGTTAAGAATGAGTAAAATATAACAGTTCAATTTTTTCATTTCTTTATCCAATTTTTTTATTCATTCCTAAAAAAATAATGTAGTCTTCTATGCTTTTTTGTTGTTGTGATAATAGAATCCAAGCTTTTCTCCTATTTTTTTTTTAAAACATCTAGGCTTTTTGGAATACTCAATAATAAAAGAAGGAAGCTTGTTAGGTGCCATTAGCATTGGTTGTAAGTGCAATTATAATTCTTGTACAGTTTTGTTTTGATCCTTCAATTATGAACAGTAAGTATTTAAAATAAAATAGTTTAAGTTTAGCTATTAGCAGTCACAATTATTAATGTTTTAAAACATAATTTAAAACAATTTAAAAAATATTAAAATTATTAATTTTTTTTTTTATTATTCTTACCTTCAATTTGATGAAATGTGATTATGCAATTAGGAGCTATAGTATAAAATAAACCTGTCTTGTTCATATTGTAAATATCACAAAATAAATACTGATTAGTAGTATGAATAATATTAGAAAGATTTAAGTTAATTGCATCAATATCTGTAAAACACTTTTATTGTACAACTTGAAGAAATGAAAATTATATCTTTCTTGAAAAGCTTATAACCACCTATTTAAAAACTCAGGCTGGTTATTTGCAGAGATTTTTATAAGATTAGCTAATTTTTTGGCTTTGACTTTAATTATGTTACCATTTAAGCATATAGCCTAATCTTTACATTGAAGTATCCAATTTGCCAAAGTGATATCTAGCTCAGAAAACATAATAATGTGACATCTTTTAACTTCAAGATTACTTAAAGACATTTTACTGAACTTATCTTTTCTTTTTAAAATGTCTGAAAATATGCTTTGGCCTAAGGCTTTTACTAACTTAAATTTATTTTTGGTTTATTTTGCAAGTTCTTTTTAAGTAATTGTTGGATTTGCAAGATAATAATTATATATCATTTTTCTTTGATTATTACACAAGTTTTTAGTTAAAACAACCTTATCTTTACTTTTTTCTATTATAATAATAAGATGAAATTAAAAGTATATACCAAATGGTGTATTTTTTAGGTTGTATAATTTTAAATTTTTTTTTTAAGAACAAAGCTTAATGTAATAATAGATCTTTTTTATATACAATATTGTTGCTTAATAATGATAACATATACAATTTAGACAATAAAAATGATTAATAAGTAGAATAAAATTTTTATATTTAAAAGTTTTTTTAACAATAAAAATTTTAAGCAAAACTATTATTAACAAGTTTTTTATTTTACTATCCTTAATAATTTAAATTCTAAGTATTTATTTTTTATCAAAATTTTATCATCATTTTTCTCATCTAATCTATTATCATGTATTATTTTTTTGATTCTTTAAAGTATTTGTATAATACAGAAGTATTCTATATATTTCAAAAACATTGATCTTATTATTCTTTTTCCTGTGAATTAGAACTAATTTTAACTTTAATTATTTTTAAGGTTATTAATATGCTAATGTTTAAAGTTTTACTTGATTTAGTCTTATTATCTTTCTTTTTATTTTAGGTTTTTGACTTTAATTAACTTAAATTTTTAAGATTAGCAGATTGGTAATTATATTATTTAGAGTCATAGACTGTATAATGAAATTATTAAAAAATTGTAAACCTAATAAAGAACAAAAAAGAATAAATAACAAGTAATTATTTTAGCAAAAACTACAACCTGATTTTTAATTAGAGAAGTTAGTTATTTTATTAAATAGATGTATGTAAATTAGTAAGTGTGATGATCTTTACTAAAGTAATGATTAATTTACCTTAATACTATTGTTGCAATTAAAGTGTGTATAATATTTATCATATTAATTTTACAAATTTAAAATTTTGTTTTTTAAAGAATCAATATTCTTATACAAATACTTATTTTATTAAAAAATTCAATTAAAATGTTATACAAAACTACAATTTTTGCTCTATCATGCAAATATAATAATAGTATATATTGTTTAAAAATTTTATTAATACCTATTGATACTATTGATAATCTAGAAATCTTCTATATTGATATATTAGGAATATAGTATAATATACTTTCTAATTAATATAGCACTATTGAATAAAGCCTTTATGAATTTATATTATCTAATCAAAATTTTTAGTATACATAAGCAATGAAAGACTGCATGTGTGTCAGGTTTATGGCACAGATAAAATTTTTTAAAATCTATTAATATTAAGATTAATGCTTATAGTAGAATTAGAAATTAATAGCAATATAATAAAATTGGTCAAGGAAAACCTTTTTTTATAATACTAAACATGGTTTCTTATGCAGGTTCTTGAACAATAAATGACTTTTAACAAAATGAACATTTGCTTTGAGTTTTCCTGATCATGTCATGTTGCACCTGATCTAAAAATTTGCATCATAAACCTGACACATATTAAAAGAGCATCTACAAGTAAATTTTTTAAAAATATATTTGAAGAAATCTTTAATAAAAAAAGAGAATAAGGTTTGTATATACTAGATTCATAGTACAAATCTTCTAAATTATGAATTAGATTTCAAGATTAGATGAATGTAATCTGAGAAAATAAATGTTTATTTTGCAAAAAATCACTTATAATGCATAGAAAAACCTTTAGTATACTAACAAAAAAAATCTTCTGAGTGAGTTTCTGTTATAAGCTTACTAATATCTAACTACTGTATAATAAACATTAACTTTATCTAACTTTAACAAACTTTAAGAATTTTGTCTGTATCACAAACCTGGTACATACACATTATTTATTGCAGTGAATTTATAAAATATCTTAAAATTTAAAAAATTTGATTACTAATACATAATTATAAATTTTAGCTGAGATAATCAATATTTCTAAATTGTAATATGTCATTTTAATAAATTTTTATATCTAATAAGATGTGTCAAAAGTGAAGAAAATGAGTTAACATATAGGAAGATAGGTTAAATGCATTATCAGTCTAGATTAAAAGTTCAAAAAAATTTTTCAAAATTTATATTTATAGTTTAATATGTTAATTTGACAATTAAAATTTAAATCTAAAGAACAAATAATTGGTTTTAATAATTGAATTTTAACTAAATTTTATAAATTCATTATGATATTAAGTTCTAGAATATAACCTAACTTGAAAATTGATATTATATATTTATTTTATAATTTGATTGGTCAATTAGTAATCTGTTAATCACATAATTTTTTCAAATCTGATAATCTTTCAAAACTAATATTAAGTTTATCTATTATGCATATCAATTTTGAGAAAGTTGACTGTATATAAAAAATTCTTTGCTAATTCATTTTGATTAAATTGTTTTTTTTAGTAAATAAACTTTAATATTAAATATATTAATTAAATAAAGTTAAAATAAAGATTATTGTATTTAGTAATATATAATTTTTAATAGACTAATACAATTTTTATTATTAGTAACTGTTTGTCTAGTCTTTGTCAACAATCTTCTTTCTTTTTATTTCTTAATATTTGGTTTTTTTTATATTTCTTTCTTATATATATTTTTTTTAAAATATTTTTTTCTTAACAAAAAGTTTTTTTATCTTTTTATAAATAAATGATATCAGATTAATGCTGTTCAATTGTAGAGTAACAAACAGATGTGCTTGATCCAGATCTGATGTAACAGGTTACTTTTAAATGCCAATTAAGGTAACTGTAATGATGACACAAAAATTAAATAAAATTATATTGTTTGTACTAAACTTTTATAAATAAACTTCTGACTAGTAACCATCATAACTACCAAAAATAAAAAAAAAAACAATTACTAAAATTAAAAAAACTTGTTCTACAAATTTTTCTTATAAATTAAAATTAATTAGTATAATTTTTTATAAAATTAAATATAAAAAAATTTATCATTAAATTTATATATAATTTTAATATACCTTTAATGCATGTGCATTGCAACGCCCTCTGATCAGCCAATCAGATCGTAAGTTCAATGTAACGCTACACAATCAGGAAAATTCAAAACAAGTGTTCGATTTGCCAACTACCTTTCGAGTTCTAACAAAAAAAATTCCTTGCAGGATTTTATTTTAAACTCATCTTATATCCAAACTCTAACCACATAAAAAAACGTTGTTTTGATTTCACGTTACACCTGATCTTATTGGGTACGCCACAGCGTACCTGCGCAAAATGATTAAATTCTTTATTTTATTTTATTTTTTTTTAATAAAAATTTTAATAAAAGTTCATTGGTTCCGGACCGATTTTCCGAGGTCGTTATGTAACACATTAACTTTATCCTTATAACAAAACTTGTCGCAGTCAATCATTATACTTTTCTTTGAAGATCCAAGAATTACCCATAGTACCATAACCTTGTTTATCAGCCATTCTGTAATATTTTGCAGCTATAAAAAGAATAAAAAAAATAAAAAAATATATATATGATTATAATAAGATAAAAAAAACAAGAGTTTAACACATAAACATACCAGTTTTCATATCTTTTTTCACACCTTCACCCTTATAATAACAATGGGCGATATCATTTTGTGCATCCGGATCACCCTAATTTTCATAAGAAAATTAATATTACCAATTTAATTTTTAACAAAACGGAAAAATAAAACGTTAGAAAATTACCTGATCAGCAGCCATCTTATAATAATGAGCAGCCCTAGCCTTATCTTTTGGAACACCCCAACCATGCTTATAGCACATACCCAATTCATAAATGGCCAATACCAGACCAGTTTTAAGTATCTGCGAATTAGCCTTATCATCAATGTTTTTTAGCATTTCTGACGCAGAACCAGCCGCCTTTTGTAAATATTTAAATGCTCTTGCTGTATCAGTTTTGCATCCCTAAAATTAAGGACGCATTTGTTATCTTTTTTTTTTTTAATAAAATTTTACAATTAAACCATACAAAACTAATTTTTTTGTTTTCATAACCCAACGTGATATATAATGAATTATAATTTTCTTGTTTTAAAAAATGCCAGATTGCCGGCATTGCTTTATAAAGAGAAAACCAAGAAATTATTTTTGTATGGGGTTATATGCGTTTAATACGTAATTACCCATCCATGTCTAAGAGCAAGACCATAAAAAATCATTCCTATAGTATTGTTTTGTTTAGCAGCAATATGAAAATATTCTGTAGATTTTTCAAGTTGATCATTTTCATGATATCTAATCGCTTGTGATACATAATCATCAATAGTAGTCGGTTGCCTCATAGATTCTAACCCACCAACGTTTTGCGGCGAAGAAGTTGCAGAACGCAGGCTTTTCACCCTATGCATTAATTTTGATTGGCATTGAGGTTCTGGGACAGATCTTAGAGTGTGTCCATGAGAATTTGGGGTACTTGAATAATCAGACGAATCTTGCCGCTTGAAAGTTGGAGTTAATGTAATTTCAGGAAGGTAGCCCTGACAATTCTGAGTATTTGAAGGTTCAGTAAAATTTTGTCTTCTGAAAGTAGGAGTTGAGGGGATTTCAGGAGAGTAACCCTGAGTATTTGAAGATTCAACAGAGTTTTGTCTTCTAAAAGTTGGAGTTGAGGGGATTTCAGGAGAGTAACCCTGAGTATTTGAAGAGTCAGCAGAGTTTTGTCTTCTGAAAGTTGGAGTTGAGGGAATTTCAGGAGAGTAACCCTGAGAATTTGAAGAATCAGAAGAGTTTTGACGTTTAAAATGTTGAGATGGAGAATTTTGGTGCCGAGAGTGTGGTGGGTGTGGCCATTGAGGTGCAGCATTATTTGAATATTGTACAGGAGACCTTTGATATTCCATGTTGATTGGCAGATTCTGAGTATTTAAATTAGTTGGTTTTTGTACCAACGGTTGAGTAACAAAGTTATTCTGCTGATCTATTTTGTATTGAAACTGCTTATTTGATATATTTATTTGAGATTGCGGCGAGTGTGGCCATTGAGGTGCAGCATGATTTGAATATTGTACAGGAGACCTTTGATATTCCATGTTGATTGGCAAATTCTGAGTATTTAAATTGGTTGGTTTTTGTACCAACGGTTGAGTAACATAGTTATTCTGCTGTTCTACTTTGTATTGAAACTGCTTATTTGATACATTTATTTGAGATTGTGATGATTGTGGTGATAATGAACGTGTTGGACTTGTAGAATTAGTTGGTGAAAGTGAAGGTTTTGGAAAGTTTGATATGGAAGAGTGTATGGATTTATCACCATTTGGTGTTAAATGAGTAGTATACACATGCGAACTGTTATTTTTTAGGATAGATCTTGGTGCAGTATGTGTTTTTGTAGGTTCATGTAGTTTCATTTCTGGTGGTGGTGGTGGTGGTGATTTATTTTCTGCATTGGAATTTTGGAAAAAATTAGTATTACATTCTGAATAATAATCTATCAAAATGGAGTCATGCTGAACTTTAGATGTTGTTGAACTTGTGTTTGTACCATGGCCAGAAGGGAAAGGTGACGGTGAAAAAAACTTGTTTTCCCTCTGGTAAATTTGTTCGTGAAGAGAAGATCCGTATTGTTGAAATGGTCGATTTCCATGGTTGTAGTATAGTGCATCGGAATGGTGATTTTGTTGTGAATAATAGTAACTCTCCTGAGAGGTTGGAGGTGGGCGATGAACCAAGTCATCAACGTCACGATCTACGGTCAGGCCATTCTTGAGGTTGTTCATATTTACGATGGTAAATAAGCTTTATTAAAAAAAAAAATTATATAATAAAAAATATAAAACTTAGAAAATATTGAATAATTATGGAAGAAAACAAGGGAGAACAATTCAAGAGAAATTGGCGAGACAAGGACAACCATACTATCGAGTGGATAATATATCTGTGTGAAAATAGGAGTACAAATAATTCTTGCACCAAAGTTTCATGATTTACGGGACCATTTATTTGTATTACCTGTTACCGTTATATATAATTTTGTCTCACGTGTATTGATAAATTTATCATCATATTAATCCGAATCCCCCAACCCGCATTGTTACTGTGTGAGATCTAGTGTTACATTCTAGAAATGTAATCTTTATTTGTATATTTTGTGAGCATGCGCATACACTTTATTTGCTAATTTTTTATACTACAATAGTTAGTACGTAGAATTTTCTTTAATGTAAAAATTCAAAAATCGTATCGATATGTCATGTGATATTCAATTCATGGTGATTTAATAATGATCCGCCGCAAAGTTATTTATAGGGATGAATTGTTCCGAAAAGGCCGAATAAGAAACAGTTTTTTAACTGGTCTCACGGTTATTGGAGACTGGGCTGAAAAACACTAGCTGTTCTAGAACATCTGAAAATTTACCAAATTAAAAGGCCAATAAACTAATGTCTATAAAAAGTACTCTCATATAGAAGATATACGTACGTACTTAGAATATGCTTATATAGAGAATTATTTTTATATATGTACACAATATGCTTAGAGCATTGTTTTACCAATGATGTGCATATAGTGCACTATGAATTAATTATATAACAAAAATCATATAGTACAGTCAGACCCACAAAGTACTGTTACACGAGAAACACAGCAAAATGACCTTTACCAATCAGATAACATTACTTATATAAGCGATTTATAATGCCAATACCAATAATTATATAATTAGTTAACAGTTACAATATGAGCTAAATTCAATAAAAAAGAAACAAATTGTTTTTAAATTAAAATATCTTAACAACTATTTAATCAAATTAGTTAAAATTTTTTTATTTAAATTTTAAAATTATATAGAATTAAAATAAAAAAAATTATTTAATAAGATAATTGCTAAGTTATTTAAGCTTAAAGTTAAGAAAACTTTTACTTAGAAAAATTTTAATTTTTTTCATTAATTTTATCTTCTATAATTTAAAAAAAGAGTTCTTATAATTAATTTTTATTAGCATTAATATTTAAATTATTTTATTGAAATATGTAATAACTTAATATAATAAATAAGTTATTATTTTTTTTTTTATAATGTCACATTATAACTTATATTTTATTAGCTTTTTATTTTACTATTATATATAGTTACATTACACTTGTATTATTAAATTACTTTAAGCTTTAGACATCTAACATAACATTACATCTATATTTTCTTTAAGTTTTATTGTATTTACTATATATTTTAATTATTTTTATTAGCTATTAATAAAGCTATAATCATCTTATTATATTTTAATTTCTTATTACTTTTATCCTAACTGTAACTTATCTGTTTACTATTTGCAGTAAATTTTTTTTTCAAATTGGTTGATTCTAATAGTTTCTTAATCTTTTTATTACCAATTTGATATATATAGTTTTATATATTTTCTAATACCTATTGGCATAATTAAACTTATTAAGATTTAAATTATTAATCTGCAATTTATTATATAATCTTTTTCAATTATACTCTTATAGTTGGTTTGGTCTGTAGCTTAATCATATGTTTTTTGCAAGTTTTTCTATAGGTGTATTACTAATTTTATACTAATATACTATCAGCTTGGTATTATAATAAGGTTTGAAACTTTGATTTATTATATACAAATATAATGTCTATCATCTAAGTTGTAATGTATGACTGTCTTAAATACTTTTTTTTAGTACTTTTTATTGTTACCTACTTAAAATTTTTTTTTTTGATATTAAGGTAACTTTTTTGGTCTTTTGACTTTTATTAATCACTTATCAGTATTGTAGTTCAATAAACCACTATAGAAGAATATACAATTGGCTACACATATAACTTTTCTATATTACTTATTTAAGGAGTCTACCCAAAGGTTTCCTACCAATTGCCATATCTAACACTCTTGCTTGGATGTTTCACTTTAAACCTTCTGAATCTGTAACCTGTATTAATATCACTGGTCATCTCAGATGTATTAAATCATTGTTCTCAATCTTAGAACTAATTTATCCTTGAGATAAACCTCTCAGAGCTTTCTGTACTTATTTTTACAGCTAATCTAAGTATTGCTATAGCAGAACCAATACTTGTGATCAGGGCTAACTATAAATCGTTATGTCTTTGTAGAGTTCACTTAGACCTCAGCATCTACTTCATAGCATAACTCTAGTACTTTAATATACCCCTGCCTTTTCCTCTGTCCTTTTACCAAACTCCCAATCCAGATAACCTGTGTAGGACTACGACCAGTCTATCAGTATATTAGGTTAGTCTGATATCCTTTTTCTTTGATTCATTCTGATGGCCTGGTTGGTGTTACCTTCAAGACTCCTAACTTGAAGGTTCTTGCTCATCTGGCTACTAGGACCAGGTACTAGACCCGGGTATCCATTTCACTAGGCTAGCCTTTACAGTAGGACCATCGAAGATCCAGCTACCTTTCTACTCAGGTCTTCCCAAATAGACTTCTTGTTACCTAATTTCAATGAATTTACATGGTTACAAGAACTTATCTAGTGCTTGCATTGCCTGATTTGTCAGTTTGCATTCCTTTGTGTAACTCTAACATTGCATGGATGCCCCATGACCTGCCAGTCATGCTAGTGTGACCACCATTACAGGTATTCTAACCCAATCATTAGTAATAGTTGCTGTAATATGAATATTATATAGGTGATTATCCAAATTTTTGTCATCAATAAGATTTGAACACCCAATCTATCACTTGGAGAGTTGACAACTTGACTACTTTACTAGGTCATCACACCCCTTCTATTTAAGATTTTTTAATTCTAATTAGATCAATTCTTTGTTATAAATTTTCTTTATATGCATTTTATTACTTATTACTTTAGTTTTAGCTATATTATATTATTCTCTTAATCAAATATACAGATCAAACAAATAAATAAAATGTAAATAATAGGTAAATAACAGAAAAAAATTTGTCATTATTCTACTTTATATTTGCTAAATAATAACAATATAATAGTATAATAATAGCAGCATAACAGCAGAATAATAGTAAAATAATAAAAGGTTTGTCAATATAAGTAATATAATAGTAACATAATAACAAAATAATAGAGTAGTTCTATTATTTTACTTTTAGTCTTTGTAACTAAAAGTAAAATAATAGAACTGTTCTATATTTTGCTATTATATTACTATTATATTACTTATATTAACAAACTTTCTGTTATTTTACTGTTATTCTACTGTTATACTACTATTATACTGTTATTATTTAATAAATATAAAATAAAATAATGGCAGATTTTTTTTTTGTTATTTACCTATTATTTTATTCTTAATTTATTTATTCAATCTGTAGTATTTTGCAAGTTAAATACAAAAATATTTGTACTACTTATCTTCTAATAACTTATTTATATAATATTGCTATATAACTAAACTTTATATAATACTGCTATATATTACATATAGTGTATTTTTTCTACAAAGTTAATTTTTTTTTAAAAAATTTCTAATATATTTTTGTATTAATTTTAGAACTTTTTATAGAACTTTGGATCAAATTTAGTTTTTATTTTTAAGTTACAAAGTTAAAATTCTAAGATTTTGCCTTTAGTCTAACTTAAACTATTAATCTAGTTTGTAGATAATTAGCAACTTTATTATTAAACTATAAGGCCTAATATCTAAGTTGGTATTTTTCTAAATAACAGATTATAAGTTTAAAACTTATTAAAAACAAAATTTTAAATAACATTTATGTATAACAATTATTTTTTATTAAATAATTAGAACAAAATATTTATAATTATAATTATATTATTATAATTAACAGATTATAAAAAATTTATATAATTTTATCTTAATATTAAACAAAAAAAAAAGAATCTATATAATTAAAAATGTAATGACTTAGTAAAAAAAATAAGTTATCAATCTTCTAAGTAATAGGTTATAAGTTCAAAACCTACTAATATCAAAATTTAAATTTTTATTTACATTATAGCAACTGTTTTTAATAATAAGTTAAAATACTTGTAATTATAATTGTATTAGTATGCTAACAAATTATAAGATATCTGATAATTAGTAAACAGAGAAATGCAAACTGATATCAAATAATGCAAATCTAAAATAAGTATTTGTAATTATATAAATCTATAGAAATTAAAAAACAAAAAACTGGGACACAAATTGCCAATTCTTTCTGACAATCATTTGTACCAAAATTCTGCTAAAGAAAATTTAATTTTCTTTAACAATTTATAATTAAATATATTTTTTAAATAAAATAAATCTGTTCTTTATATAGGGTGTAGTGACCTAGTAAAGTGATCAGGTTGTCAATCCTCCAAGTGATAGATTAGGTATTCAAATCCTATCAATAATGAAAATTTAAATAATCACCTATATAATATTTATATTACAGCAACTGTTACTAATGATTGGGTTAGGATATCTGTAATAGCAGTCACATCAGCATAACTGGCAGGTCATAGGGCATCTGTACAATGTTGAAGTTACATGAAGAAATGCAAACCAACAAATTGGGTAGTGCAAACACTAAATAAGTCTTTGTGGCTATGTAAATCCATTGAAATTGGATAACAAAAAGTCTATTTGGGAAGACCTAAATAGAGAAGTAGCTGGATCTTTGACAGCCTTACTGTAAAAGCTAGCTTAACAAAACAGATAATCAGGTCTAGTATCTGGTTCTAGTAGCTAGATGGGCAAGAACCTCCAGGTTGGAAGTCTCAGAAGTACCACCAACTAGGCTGCTAGAACAAACTGAAGAAAAAG